TCATACTAGCGTTCTGGTATTCTCCAGTAGTACCGAACTAAAGAATTGACATATTGGATTACACCATGCTAAACCAGTGCTTTGTCACATTGCGTTTCAATGGTCTGAATTGAGGATTATCAACTAACCTGAAACTAAAACAGATGAGGAGCAGCATATAAAAAGGTGGCCTTGAGAGTGTTGTAGAGTGGTATTGATTGGAAGTGATGAGAGTTTCAGATTTCTACTTATTTGTTAATGACTGCTTTTGCATCGGTCGTCTCCATTATAGAGCTCGGGAATTTTGCAGAAATTATTTACTAAACTGTGAAATGAATTGCTGACTCTATTAACAGTCATTAGAAATCATATTTAGCTCGGCCAATGCCCCTCATCTATGTGCCAAAATATCTAACAAAAAACTATAAAATATATTTTCCAAAAAATCATGCACCAAGGAGTACTCTGGTGGATGGCTGAATATATAGTGTCCTGCCCAGTGGCATAAAAATAAAACATGCCTCTTTTTAAAACGATCTATAAATACTAGAATCAAAATGCATATATTAAAATCGTGTAAGCTTATATTATTAAAACCCGAGAAATTAAAACGAGTACAGTGACAAATAGGATGTAAACCTACATTAGCAAACATTTAAAAAATTATAAAAATTTCAGTGACGCTTAAAAAAAAGCACAAGATATCTTGCGGTAATTGAGCTGTCACTCAATTGTCGAGTGATGGTTTTGCATTCGACTAGGCGGAAGAATAAAGACCGATAATTACCCCATGCCTTCATGAGGCAGTTCTATACTTCAGTTAAGAGTAAGACCAGCTGCAGTGCGAAACGATTTACTTGTTTCCGGCAGTACAACAAAGGAAATGCAATTTTGGCCATCGAAATACTGTGTAATGTTAGCTGTGGACGAAGGCCTTTAAGTTGTTAAGGTAATTTCGCAAAGGAACTTGCACAACAATGCATGAAAGCCAGGGTTTTTTTTTCTAACGTGCTGTTTGATGGCCTCCCATAAAGGCCAACGACGCCTTTACCTTGGTCCGATTAAGCCAGTAGGTGCAAGCCTGTGCAGCCACCCTAGCCCCATGCAATTATACTTCCAATCCGATTTCCCACCGAACTCTCGAGAAGGTCATGAGGAGACTGCCAATTCGACAGCGGTTAAAGTATTTTAACGTAGTTTGCAGAACACAAAGACAGGGAAAGGAACCACGCCTCGGTAATTTATGAAGATTTATGGCAAGAAGTGGCGACATCGCATGTTTCGGGTTCGATGAGTTAGTTATCAATGTAAGGCACGAGCAAGCAAGTCGCCTACTGAATGGCTACGTATGGCACATTGGTGATTCGAACGAAAGTGATCATAGAGTTTCGCTCCGCTGCCCTATCTACTAAAGGGGTCATCGCACAGATTGCTCGTTTACTTCCCACTTTTAAAACTCAGAGAAAAGTCGGTCTGTGGTTCAAATGCGAACGTTGTGTCGGAGTTGTTGAAGGTGAACCAAATTGCTCAGAACTGTAAATCTACCTGTGATTGCACTAGTAATGGCTTCAGAAGACGGCATCTTACATTAATAAGTCCTCTTGATGATAACTTGAGTAGCGTGTCAGAAATCACATAAATTACATTGTAAGAGTCATTTACGGCTTAAGGACTGATGAACCTGAAAAAGAACTGGCAATCTTGCACTATCAAGGCGCGATTGTCGAGGATCTTGATATAAATGAAGGAAGTTCGGAAATCGTGCCTACGAAAGATGGCGACTTCGGACGTAGAGATGTGAGAATCATTCAAACGAGCTGGGTTTGGGGGACATAAGACAAGTATTATCATTTCAACTGCTTCTGTTTGGAGAAAAACCCGGAAGTGGTCTGCCAATATGCCTCTACCGTCGAGGCTCTTGAAACAATGCCACTAATCATCATCGACACAAACCTGCAGGTACGCAGGTGCATAAAGCCGTGGCTGATGGAGTCGAATGTGAAAATAGTGGCTCAATACAGTAAACTTCTCAAAGAAGGCAGTTTGCCGAAGTAACCGAAGTCATAAATCTCGAAGTCTTCTAAGGATGCTAAGATGCTTGCCGGACGAAGAACCGGACTGACATTACAGGGGCCATTATCCCGGGGACCTCAACTATGAATGTTTCCAAATAACGTGTCCTATGGCAAAGAAGTACCGAGAACACACTGAACCCTAGCGAAACTACCCCTAACCAGATCTTACATTGCGGTCCGCCTTCCTTCGCGATGCTCGGTTTGTTTTTCTGGCATCGCTCGTCCAATCGATAAGTTGAGACAATTTATTCCCCTCCGATTCTAAAGATTACGACCCACCTTTTCCTCTTTGCTAGTGATCCGTAGCTTACTGTGGAATAGACTGTCACTGGCGCACGCTGATGCTCTGCGTGCACCTTATAATCTGATAGGATCCTATCATTTCTTTTCGATTTGCTTGAGTCGGTTTACGACTTAGAGAAAGAGATTTAAACTCCATTTAAGCTGGAATGTTGACTGGAGTTCGCCTTCTACAAGAAAACTCAAGCCTTTTTGCTCCACATAATGGAATTTAACAGCGAATGTGTTGACGAAGTGTGAATATTTACTCCCGTATAAACAGAGACGACTGGTGTGAGAGCTTGCCGTTGCCACCCCTAAGCACACGTAAAACAGATTCCTACTGAAACTATTCCCAGTAGTACTCTTGTCCCAAACTCACTATCGTTTTGACCAAGTTTTAGCTACGATAGCAGATTCTCATGTGTGGCGAAGAAACCCAGTGCTTCTCTCAATGAGAACTGAACTAGGCAATTTGACACAATTGTGCAAATTTACTCCAATTTGCATCGTGCCTTACGTTTGAAGCCCGACATTTCTTTGCAACTCAACAACAACAGAAAGTTGACCGATCATCACTGAAGTCCACAGGCCTTAGCGACCTTAAGCGAAAAAGCCTGCTTTCAGTTGAATTTATCCAAGAGGGCGATGCTGGTTCCCCCAAGCCTGTTATCTGCCTTTCTGCAAAAGGATAATCAAAAGCTATTTGATCACAACATCTTGGTTTTTATGGCGTTTAGGAGTATTGCTTACTCATGACCGAAAGCACAAATTTGGCCAGCTTTAGTTTTATTTCTACAAGTAATGTAAAACTATCAGAATCCCACCTGACATTTACTGTAAGAAAATTACGCAAAACCTCCCAATGTCTGCTTCGTGTCACGGAAGGGAGACCCCTTTACTGTTCCGCCCGGAATAATGTCACAACACGACCAGTGGTACAATACACCTGTTCGTTTCATGTTGGTCACGCTGGAGCAGCTATTCTTTGTTGACAAATCGGTTACATGTACACTAGTGAATTTTAACTGGGCAATAGAAAGGATTCCACTAGAAGGCCAACATGGAAGCCACATTCACGAGACACGGTAACATGTTAGCGTTTCAGTCAGATCGTGGCAAACGAAGCCAACTGTGTGAGGGGGTAAACAGTTGCACAAAATTGGACGATGATGCAGGAATCAAAGACGCCCTCCTGTTTGATGCCACTCATCACAGCACAAGAACGGCCTCAAAAGCGCCCCCTATGAATTATTGCTCTTCGAACCACGGGGTTTCACGTCTTCGTTTAAAATCGTTTCACTCCTTAAAGTAACCAAATGCATTTTAGTTTTACGAACATTTACCAGTTCCAGCAATCGCAAACTTTCATACTCCTTGAAAGAGAGGATCTATTCTGATGCAAACCAACAAAGCGAATCAAACTGCTCCGTACCGAAATCAGAATAATGCAGTTGCCCACTAATCATTACAATTCTACTTAAGCAAACCTGGTTGGAACAGCAAAGGCGCAGGCCATCGTTCGAGGTTTATAAAATGTCAACGGCATCTGTTCGTCGAATGCAATGACGCTCTCGGTGATTCCGCCAATAACAACCGAGGGACCCAATAACACGACCTCTTGTCTAACCTTGTCTACTCAACTCAAGGGCGATGACTAATGTCGACTTCTGTGGGGCAGGCAATTGCCGCGGAGGCGCACACTCCGACCCAAACAGTGATTACCAACGCATAGGACATCGTACTCCTGCCAAACACTTGATTCAGGCCTTAAGGACGTTTGAGAATATTACCACTTCGGAAAGAATCACCGCCATGTGAAACATTCAACCACCACGGGCGATTAAATTATTTGTTAATGAATAGTATCAACACCGGCAAGGGAGTGACTACGACTGACCAAAAAGGCAAGAAACGACGCTCTCAATAAATCCGTGGCAAACTTCATACCGTATTCAGAGGAGTGGTGGTAAGTTCGCATGACAGTTCCATCGATTCACCCCTCTTTAAACATTCCAGTTAGTGTTGCTGATACAATATGCCTTGTCGGTTTTCAAAATGCCATAGCATACGGCTTATAAGTACATTTGTGTGTCGTGTTCTACCGCAATCTCGCGCTCGTCGACATGTTACCGGTTTGGGACTAAGCAACTTAGGAATCAAGGACGATTAAAGTCATTTTTTTAAGGCATGACCTATAATAATTTCGTTGATGCCGTGCACAATGAGGTTGTCTTATATTAATATCTCCTGGTGAGCATGCGCATATTTAAATTCTTTGCACACTTGCTGGTTGCAGGAGGATACGTTTGTAAGAAATATCTTTCTTCTGGACCAAATTGTCATGACTCCGGCAAAGCTTAAACAAAATTCATATTCTTGAAATAAACATCGAAATATAACTTCTTAGAGTTTTATTCAAGTGTTTGACTTCAAAGCATTGCCATTTCGCTACATAGTTACATTTCTCGGTGAAAACGCCACCTGGTAAACGGGGGCCAAGTTTTTTTCCGAGGGGCCATCCATGGTCGTAGAATCTAATACACTGAATTTATCATGAATAATGTTCAAGACGTATATTTTAGCTTTTTCAAAGAAACAATAACGAAAGTTAGCGGGAAAAAAAATCAAGAGAATGTACACGTGGTATCACAGATCTAAGGCGCTTCATTCTAACGAGGACGGTTTTACATGAGAAAGACCGGAGAGAAGAGGATTCTTAGATTTAATTTGCTTCCTTTGAGATGAGATCGGACCCAGTGGTGCGTCACTTGTGAGAGGTAGGCGCTGCTTCACAGCAGACGCAGAACTCACTTCAAGTCTACGAGTTATCTGTGAGGCTGTTTCGACTTCAGTGCCGACACCATGCGCTTTTAAATAGTCTGTTGGTAATCGAAGTTGGTTCGGTGGAGAGGATTCCTTCTCCAAAAATATCGCGAACATCTCAACGAAGGATTCCTAGAACCATTAGACGGTGTAATAATAGTGGTACTAGATTTTGATCCATGCCAACCACTAGTGATTGATTAGGATTTCTGGCTAGAAGCACTGGTCGAGAAAGTGAACAGGTTTGGCAGGCCCTTAATAAAACCACAAAACAAAAGGCCGACTGCGGACTTGGTGAGACATGATTATGGTCCAGATTACAGAACGACCTTCTTATTCTTCAGTATCAGAGCGTTACTTGCTGGTAGTGAAGAACAAGAAGATCGTTCTGTAAATTGGACCATGGCTTTGGATGATACCAACGTAACGCGTTACTTGTATACGTTATATGGTAATAAAGAAAAAGATAAATGTAGCGCAGTTACTACATACCGCTAAAACGATGGTCCGAGAATATAGTTAATAATATATACGTGGGGAGCACTTGGCAGCAAACTAACCTTTGGTTCTGTTTCATGTTGTTTAGGTAAGGCAGAATTCCAGAAAAGATCCTTCCAATTTTTGGCGACGGGTTCATTAAAGCCAAGCTGCAACACGGTAAATGTATGAAGATAGGTGGTGTAACATCATGTTACTTCTGTATAATCCTTTGTTTTACTATACTGGTTTTGTTGGAACATTAATCGAAGTTCGACAAGCATACATTTATTGTTTAACGTTGACTATTTACTCTAATTATTGTCCAAATACCAATTGTTTAGGATAACCGCATGCAGTAACAATTGTTTTGGATTGTCTTTGTTCTTCAATTGCTGCGAGTGTAACCGTTGGTGCGAAGCTGCTGTGATTTACAGGCGGTTACACCAAAAGCATATCTACACCAATAAATAAGGACGAGGCTGTCACTTACACACAGTGATAGGCTTTTATAACTGCGCGCATACATAAAACTAATCGCTCACAAGGTTAAAATCTTCTGTCGTAAAATCCAAAACGCTCCCCAGAGCGCAGAACGCCTCTGGTCGCTTGGCTGGGGGAAGTTTCAAGCAACTGATTAGCAAATTTTTCATGACTAATCTGAAACAATGGATAATTTTGTTACAAATTATGCATTAAGCAAAATATTGTATTTAAGTAATGATGGCAAGAACTCACTTATCGAGTTTACCATCTAGTTCGTTTTTCACCTCTTTAAGAGTAGACTTGAGAACTTGAATCTGTTCTTCGTAACGCCGAGCTACAAATGTAATAACCTAGCCAACGAATGTAAATTTGAAGCGACATGCAGTATATAGCCAATATGTCAAACCATAGCAATGGAACACTTTTCCAAATAACAGACCAACGCCTGTATTCGAATAGATACACGTGGAGTACATAGAACTATAACTAGAGAACCAGGACATAACTAATCACAAGCATTGTTGGGTACTATCGCTATTCGTTACAACGAGGTAATCATCAGAAACTAGCGGAATTCATGGCTTAGATTAGCGTTTAGTCCCATTAGCTTGTTGGAGAGTGGTAGCAGCTCATCTTTGAACGGCTAACGAGCTACTATCCTATAAACGTGGACTACGGTTGCGACTCATGATCCTGTCTCCACACTAATACAAAAAACCGATCTGAGTCTTGCAGTGCGTGGAAACAAAGTGAATGACTATAGGCAATCGGGTTAAATTAGCTAATAACAAGTGAGGCTTCTGGTTCAGGTTGCGAGATACGTCAAATCACATCACTGAGTTCGCTTAGGCTGAAAAGAAATAGTTAAAATAGCAAAAGTAGGGAGGAAGGATTCGAGCCACACCTAGAGCATGAGCCTCGGCAAGGCGATCAGCGTGGTGTCTTAACTGTGCTTGGAGTTCATTATTTGTTGACTCAAGTTTCTCCTGTCGAGAGAACTCTTCCTGAAGGTGCTTGACACGCTGCTCAAGAGTTGAGACCTCTTTCTGGAGCCGCTCATTTTCTAAGCGAAAGTGTTGTGCTGCCACATTTGTCTCCAACTGATTGTCTAAATTTAAAAACATTAGCAGAACAGGGGCAAAAGACGAGAGACCTCGTTAGAGAAGACGAGTTATCAATATCTACCCAAGAAAATAGATTGTAATCTTATTTGAACGGGCCCTGTCTGAATGCGCGAAACTTGGGACACGTGGAAGATGGATCAAAGCGACCCGACCACAACTGAATAGTATACGAAAAGGGTTTTGTGAGGCACATTGGCGTGACGTGTCGATGATGGCAAGTCCTGTTTAATTTACTTCGTTCAAACGAGGGACGGTGGTCTTCGAAAATGATTGATTGACTCACCAGTAAGTTTATGTCACAGCACGTGCTGGTGATCTCACCATGCCCAGACACCGGGTTATTCGACAAGTGCGGTCCATGCAACGACCTTTCAAACTCGATTTCTGCAGATTTACCAAACCAGTTTTTCCACGCTACTTTCAAGCGAAAAACCCTATCCTGCGAAAGTCAACGACTAACCTCCTGGACTTAGTGAACTTCAGTGAAAGAGTTACCTAAATGCCATGAAGTAAGCGTCTCAAAAAAGTTTTGGTCGGAAATAGGCGCAAAACTACGGAAAAGCACACATACCCCTCTCGAGGCTTTCGAGTGCCTTCTGTAGATTGGCATAGCTGGCCCTAAGACCGGATAGTTCTGATTGGCAAGCACGACAGGCCTCCCGTGCAGCATCACGTTCTTTTTGCGCACAAGTAATCTGTTCATCAGCTGATTCCACAAACTCCCGAAGAGAGCCCAACTGCATTTCGGTCCGACTAAGATTATCTCGAAGTGACGCTTCCCTCTCCTCGGCCGCCAAGGCCTCTTTTGTATGGTTTTCTTCGACCTACGAAGTCAGAAAGAATGCACTGAACATAACAAGACATGTGCTCTAGCCTTTGATCCACATGAAGAACAAGAAAAAGCGCGACTTTGATGGGAGGAAGAATGTATGTGAGCACGAAGTTGTAGATTAACACTGTCGACTGTGCAGTGTATTTTCGCATAATTCCCCGTTCTAAACATAGTGCTGATACAAAAAACGGCCACCGGAAGTAAGGAAGCGTAACAACGCGTATAAACTTAGTGGCGAAAAAGGACATCATTCGCAGAAAGATTTAAAAAATGGCAAATACTGTACGGTTTAACAACCAGTAGGCGCATGAATTTGCGACTGCACACTAGCTACCATACAATTTAGCATAAGAACTCCACAGTTTCAAGAGGTGTGATTTTACACTAGCGTTGCGACAGTACAGAACTTTTGCGACAATGCCTTCGGAATGAAGCCTAAACGCGAGACGGCATCGACGCTTCAAAAATATTAAGTAGCAGAAAGAGACGGAAAGATGCAATGACTTACCTGCAACAAATGTGATTGAAGTCGCTGAAGCTTTGCCGCTAGTTTTTCAGTCTGGTTTTCAATATTCATATCCTGTGACAAAACCACAAAATTAGACGTCACAGGAACCCCTTAGGAATTCGCGATGGATTTTTCGCTACTGACCATATTGTAGTCAAATGTAAAATTGTTTGACCTTATACCAGAGTTAAATGGCCTCAGCGTAATTTATCAGCCGAGGTTTGTTGAAGATGATGAGCATTCGCGACACCCATAACTTTGAATTGATTGTTACACACAGACAATCTTCTCTGTTCGTGTATAGTGTAATGTGATGCCTAGTAGCAGAGCGAAAGACCGTGAATACATGACCGAGCTGCCTTTCTGCCGTCTTTTATGTTTGTCAGTGATAAGTGGGGGGTGGGGGGTGGTGGTGGAGTAGTGGCTAACCGTTCAAAGCGATGGATTTATCAAGAACCTAAGGCAAGACAGGCAGGGTAGGTAACGCAATAATTAGGGAACAACAACCCCCAACTTTGCTTTACGTTGGCTGCGAGAAACGGTTTGGCTAAGCAACGGACAGACCAGACACAGAGGTTACACTACCAAGTGCCAATGTTAGGCAATGCATTCGCACTGTGATGGTGCAAAAAATGTATGGGGAGCAAAATCTATAATGAAGCCTGAAGATGAAATTTTACAAATAAAAACTCACTGCAGGCTGTGATTTGGAAAGAAAGTATTGTAATTGTGCATGATAGGCTTGGCTCTCTGCATGCTTGCTACGCACTAGCTGGCCGAGTGCTACCTTATCCTGCTCCGCCTTTACATACTTAGACCTCAAATTGGCGTATCCCTCCAACAGGCGGCTCAAGCATTCAGATAACTCCTTCTCAACTTCCGTCGACCTTAATTTTTCAGTCAGTCCATCTAAGGCATCATTTTGGACCCCTTCTACGATAGTTTTCACCAAACCTACAACTGCGGAATCTGATTGTGTCGAGCGCTTGAATATATCATCCAGTTGTTTTGCAATACCCTGATTTGTGGGACTCAATGTAGTGATGTCAGGATCGCCGAAATTAACCAATTCTGAAATATAATGGCGGAGATCACTTTCATCTCCGCTCCCGGCAAGCTCTTCAAAACAGCTAACTATTTCACGGGCCTCCTGAGATAAGGAGGTGATCTCCGATTGCCCGTTCGAGACAGCAAAACCTTTAATCCTATTTAACATTGATTTCACAATTCCCAAAACAGCAGCAACTTCTGTGTTTTCGTGTAATTTCGTAAGTGATAAAGGATTGGTTGTACTTTCGGCAAGTTTAGCGTCACGCGCAGGTTGCTGATTAGGGTCAATCGCTATCCGTTGTCCAGTGTCCGACTGAGAGTAACTCTTCTCTAGGTAGGATGGGAGCTCTTTTGAGCCAACCAATTGGCTTAAGTCATCAATCTTGCGTCTGATTTCTGGTCTTAATGTGGACTTGTCGTTCACAGGTTCACCACCACTTGGCGTTAATGTTGCTTCGAATTGTTCATTTAAATTAGGATTAACAGCATCGCTTGAGAGGTGGTCCATAGCAATACTGGTGGATCTTTCTACCGTCTCCTGAATATTTTCATTCAGCTGATCAAGTCCACTTCTCGAAGTATCACGATGAAAATCGCTCCTCTTTGACAGCAATTCACACAATTTTTCGGCAACTGCGTTACTTTCAGATACATTAGTCACAGTACCATAAGTTTTGAATTGAGAGCCCACTTGCCTCAGTAAAATTTCATGCGGTGCTGCTTCATACGCCACTACCAAAGAATCAACTAAATCTTTATAATGGTTCTCTACTTCTATAAGGGGGCTCGCGCTCTGAGTAAACTGATCGAGGCTATAATCCCCACTGATGAGCTTAGCGTAAGCAACCATCGTTGCTTCAAGGAGTTCGCATACTCGCGTCAACTGGTTCATACGCTGTGTTTCGTCTACTGGGACTGCGCCAACGATCTGCGATGGCAGGTAACACGTCCTAGAAGGAGAAATCTCCTCCGTATTAATGCCAAAAGTGCGCCGATTTGGACAGGATGATAATGACTTCAGTTCGGCAATGCAGGCGTTTGCAGAGTTGAGGGCGTCGCGGGCCAGCATGAGCTCTTGACGTGAAGCTGCTTCAGCAGCAACGAGGACAGCAACTTGAGCCTCGGGTTGTGCAGGAGGCCAAACTACCGAGTGGTCTAAGGACGTTGGAGGAGGTAAGAAAGAAATGGCGCTCAAGAGCGCGTCCCTTATACGAACGAAGCGGGATTCTAGGGATTCATCATCGCCGTTCTTGACACTTAAATCTCCATTGTTGCCTGAAACTTCAGGTTCCGAGACGCTTGATTTTACCTGGAGAGCAAAGTGAACAAGACATTGGTTTGTAGAACTATCGAAAAATGGCAATACGTGAAACAATTCCTGCTTGTAAGACAGGAGCAATGATTTCCAGAGTTAATTAAATATTTAAAACGGAAGCCAGCTATGGAACTAAATTATTAATGATCAACTATTACAAATAGTGCTAGTACACAAATGACGGTAAATGCCAAATGATTGTACAAGAAAACACGAAATCAAGACTTACTGCTAACTGTATACTGGTTTGAATTGAGAAGTTATTTAAAGTAACGGTTTCTAAAGTAGTTAAATTTGATTAAATGAAACCCCCGGCTTGTTCAGAACACAGGCATGATTAAAAAGGCACCTATTCATAACAAGTAGCTAAGCCGTTAAAAGTTTATGAGGACGAATCTTGTAATTAGCTAATTGAGGCATCAACACCGGTTACAGGTGGCTAAAGGATGATCGATTGAAAATCTCTGTGAAGTTCCTTTGTTGTATTCAAATGTCCGCGGCGGATTTACCCTCGGTGGTGAAGACGCAGTGACCAACTCAAGTGTTTTGTGGACGAAAGGAAATGTGTTTAGGGACAATTGATTATGAATGGCGCCAAAAGAATACTTTGACGTTAAATTGCGAAGACTGTGACGTTAGGCAGGTCATTTTGAGGTCATGGAAACAAGCTCGGGCATACTGCATAGCATTCAGACTGCTTTCTTAATTTGCTTACCTTCGGCATTAAGATATATATCCAAGGTTAGCTTTTTCCCGAGTTTACTTAAAAAAATCATATCGACAAACTACGTAAATCAAAATGTTAACTACGAACATCTCATTCCCAGTGGCTGTCAGTATTGATGTATTGACCAGGGCAGCATTTTAACGGTTTAAAATTAGCTCAATTTTTCGGTTTCAAAATAGATTAAGTTGAGGCATACCGCCGGTACACAAACCACTTGTTTTGACTGAAGCTCCTCAAGCTGATGAATGCGTTCCTTTAGGCGGGCGACATGAAACGCATTTGCTTCTTGAAGCGCAGCTACTTCCTGACATTTCTGCTCTTGACACTGCTCTAGTTGCCTACGTAATGACTAAAATGACCAATTAAGGAGATTATTTTTATTGGCTTTATTTGTCTTTTGAATAAAAATGCATTCACACTCGGTTGAGGACGCATGCAGTTAAGGGTTTAGCCACAGTTTTGGTTCAAATTAACCGACTACTACTACCATCAAAATTTGACGAATCCAAATATTGATCACCCAACTACGGAAAGGCCAAAAACACCGATTTTGAGGAAAGCAAGTGCCCGCAATGTGTACTTTTTAAAAACGTTTTCTCCACTCACAGATGCGACTGGCCTATAAGTTTGAATTATTGTCTTGCATAAAAGTGAGCAGAGTTACAACAACGACTGACTTCACCTACAATGGCTTTGAATATGCTCTTCCAAAGTAATTTCAAAAAGAAATCAATGTAGAAAGTACGTTAGACCTTCCGTGGGCATATTTAAGCGACAAAGACTTCAGGTTTTAGCAATTGTAAAAGCAAAAAGAATTCACTAAATTTGGGGCATGGCCAAGTGACAAACTACCTGTGAGTCTAAGCCAAGTACAAAATGATTTGAATCAAACAACAAAAAATAACAAACTGAGGAGATTAATTTCAATTGAGGCAAACAACACCTTTGGTGGCAGACAGTAAGCGCGTCGATCTTTAATGCTTTCCGTCAAGTTTTATGACAGGTCATATTTAATTATAAATTTCAGTATTTTAAAACTTCAACCCGGTACAGATAGCAACCAGCGCACTTATTCCAAACTGCACGGATATGTAGATAAAGGGCACATATAACTACCGCAATTATTTAAATTGAATAGCTTATGCAATGCATGGCAGCCAACGGACTCATCTAACAGACTACTGTGATGTCGACTGTGCACCTATGTTTACAGGGATCACCGAAGGATTGTGGCAATATTTCTCCACCCCTGTCGTGCGGCTCCGATTACTTCATATCAATCCTCACCGACATCATAACTGCGCAAACCCATGTAATCTCGTGCAATTTAGACGTATGCATTCTTACCAGCCCAATAAAAGCGAAGCAACCTCAATCGTCCCCAATCCCCACATTTTCCTTCCCACAATTAGTGCTCAAGCAATCCGCAAAAGACGCAACACGTCAGTTGCCCGGTGTGGGTTGAGTCTCACACCAATGTCCCGGCAACAGCTGATCCTGACATCGGTTTCATAACACATCTGATCAGCTTGACGACTCGTACGCACAAATCGGTTAATTTATCACAACTAGCAATATCAAGATAAGCATTTTACATTCTAAAGTTAACACTAGCTTGTTTTTCATGGGGTTTGGTCAAAGACTGGTTCACAAACAATTTAAAAGAATTTAGTTAAACTTTTAAACTATTAAGGAAAGTTATAAAGGTTGCATAGTACCAAAATTTAGTTAGGCGACTACTTACAGAATATATGGCAATCAAAAGTCATCCAACACCCTTTTTACTCAGAACTTCAAATATAAGCAAAAGGATTCACAATAACATCTCAGTTACTTGTAGTTGCTAGTATATAAGTAATTTTGGAACAAAATCGAACATAAAAGTACCAATGATATGTTTGTCATAGCGTAAACAAAGAAATATGAAATAAATATGCAAAATGAAAAGCATGTGCTATACTTTCTTGTGCGGACCCACATGCGGCCACAGACTTCAACTTAGTGAAATGGAAGTAAAGTACTTTTGCGTTCGCATGCATCAACATAGATTAGTTCAAATTAAAGTCTACGGCAATCGCCTCGTTTGTTAAAATCGGTGGGGTAGTAGACCATCAGATTCGAAAGGTAAAAATGGTGTTACCGGATAAGCCATGAATTTGAACCTGTGAATATCTAGGACACTAATAATATTGTCTTGTATTTTTTTTAATTTTACTTAAAACAACGGTAAACTTTCTACGTCAATGTATATGATTCACCTCAATCTTTTCTTGTTCTTTGGACAGCAAGTGCGATGTGACCTACAAGAAAATTGCATTGACCTTATTGAAAATTTGAAACTTCATATTTGTCCCATTGTCATTGCGAGAAAAAGCAACCACCTGTTTGCCGATATTTGGTCGTCCAGTATCGTGAATTTTACCGGGATGTTCATAATCCTCGTCAGCGCATCCTAGAAAACATCAGAACCTGACAGAACCTTACCGCAAATTGTCACGGCTTCACCCAGAGGTTTAATTTGAGCGTTCATTGAAAGCACGCATTCTCCCTCAGGCTCACCTCTCTGCATTTTCACTTGAGCAGCTAATTCGCGTATTTGTCCCTAAAAATTCTAAACTTAAAATTGACCAAACCTCTTTTTCGCTTAAACGGGCCTCACTTTCCCTCTGGCTATGTATAATTTGGAGTTCGAGTGACTCGTTTTTAAGATTAAGATCATTTATTTCGGTTCGACAGTTATGCAGCTGAAAATCGTCATGCAACAACAAATGGAAATAAGCTACCTCCAACTTATACTCAGCAATAAAATTTTCTAATTCAACAATTCTCATTTGTGCATTCCGCAAGTCACCAACTGGATCTGCTTTGCAAGGGAAATGTAATGAATGAAAAATAGCATCCTGTGAATTCAAATGAATAAACATAGAGTGGGTGCTACATAAAGGTGATTGTACTCACATTCATTTAAAACGAATGATTCAAACATAAACCCACGCTAGTTAATTGTCCGTATAGCTGCAAGAACTCGAGTGTCATAGGAAAGTTTGGAAAAGATGATAAATAAAATCTTTTTCACGATCATGCTCGGATTAAGAATGAAATTACAACATCAAAAAACCTGTTTGATTTTGTATGCGTTATAGGAATTCGTGCTTAATTGCTGAACAGGGGAAATCGATATCCTGAATCCAATAAAGGACATTTACCCGCAACTTCTGATGTACTCTCATTGAAAATTTCTTTGGCTGCTGATGACACAAGACGGACAGCAGAAGATGATTTAATACTATCAAGCCAAGACATCTCACAGTGCAGTGTGGTGTGGTGTGGCGTCGGACCAGGGCGCAGACATGTTGGACCACCTGGCCTCAGCCAATCCCGTGTCTCTCTGCGATCCAATGGCATTCGGGAAAGGAAGGCAGCCAACCAGAGAAGGACATGGATGAGATGCAGTATATAAAGAGCGGCGTCGCCAGCGTTGTGGACTCGGATGGAAGGCGCCTGACGCGTGTGTCTGGCTTCTGATTGGTCGATAAAGCCTGTTCTGTTGTACCGGTCTTTTACCTATTAGGGCTCGGGTATTCTACAGTGGCGTCGGATTAGGGCGCAGACATATTGGACCGCCTGGTTGCAGCAAATCCTGTGTCTCTCTGAGTTCCAATGGCATGCGAGGAAGGTAATCAGCCAACTAGAGAAGGACACGACTGAGGAGCAGCATATAATGAGTGGCGTGGCCAGCGTGGCGGACTCGGATGGAAGGCGCCTGACGCGTGGCTCTGGCTCGTGATTGGTCAATAAAGCCTGTTCTGTTGTACCGGTCTTTTTCCTATTAGGGCTCGGGTATTCTACAGTGGTGGCAGCGGACGCGTTCCAATTACGCATATCGAACCCCAGCAATTTCTCTTCTATGGTCAACAAAGGCAAAGACCCTTAAATGCCAGCTGAAATTGTCATGGCGTTTATCCGATGTCCAATAAACTGGATCCATAAACATTGCCAGGGATTAGGACTAGTGCATCTGAAGAGGCATTGGCAACTCAGCGACGACGACTTAGACAGTAAAAGCCAGCTGGACTGCATTTGGGAATGGACCATAGATGGATGATGAGTCTTTCCTGCAAGTCTACAAGAGCAAAGTCCCTCGTCGACTGTTCGCTTTGGCCACTAACCTGCCAGATGTGGAGTGCGCGGAGTGTCGAACTGGATATTTTACCAAAACAGGATATCAACAACAGTGCGGTGGACCAAGCCAGAAGCTGAAAAACAGCTTCACTCCTGTATTTTATGCACCAGCAACTTTTAAATGCGTAGACATTTTGGACCACGCAGATCCCAGCTAATCTTGCATTTCCTTAATTAATCCCCAGCTGGAATTATACAGGATGTGCACTAGTTTTTTTCCACATCTTTTTACTAGTAGTTACTTGTTTGATGTATCCTGCTTTATAATTTTTTTTTAAAAAGAACATCTAATCTCTCTGTTAATCATATAATACTTCAAATCATTTCCAAACGAAGCCTTCATAGTCACGTATCTAAGGAATTTATACACCCTTATTATTAATATATGTCACAAAATTCGTTCACATTCAACAAATTTTTTTATAATAATTTTAGGCAAGTAATTTCTTTTCACATATTTTCTTCAGTTGCAGTTATGGTTAGATAATATACTCAAAAAATTTAGTCTCTGTTACCCAGTTTTCCCCATTGACGTATTGGATGTTTGTAATTGTTAGGTGATTTTTGGCCCACTACATTGTCCAGCTGGTGATTTAAGTGCCTAAAACTGATCCTAATGCAGGTTTGCTTGTAATATTGCAAAATTGTCAGCGGACTTGACATTGAATGATTTGTTATGATATGAAACTTTGTAGGTCAAAGCTGAAATTCAATGGTCAATTTAAACAAACTCCTCGGACATTGTATTGGCGCTGCCACAAACCTTATATTAATAGACTGTAACTTTCAAAATAAAAATTTCCTTTATATATAAATTTATTGATTATAGTTACACGCATTTCTATGTGTCTAACACACCATTTTGTCAACATTTACTTAATTTACATGCATTTAATTTTTAAAAATTGCTTTAAATATTCGCCAAAATTATATTTGTCGCACAGTATATAGTGTCCGTCATTCTAACTGATTTAAGATGTTTTTGGACAGATTTAATTCAATTATATGATCCATATCCAATTTAAAGATAAACGTCGAACGTGCCAAATCATTTGGCACATTAAAAATCAAACAGTTGACGCTAATTGGACAACTATGAGAACACTAAATTTGAAGTTCCCAAGTGTCGACATGCATATATTTTTTTCTAATGTTTCACTTCAAATTAATAATTTTAATAAAAAGCGAAGCAATATTATAATATGTGAAATAGGCTTATTAACGTATATAAACTACTGAATCATGTACAACTAGTGTAAATTCGATTAATGTTTTAATTCAAATTGTATTTCATGCTGTAGCAATCCATTTGATTTTTAATGAGTTGTGGTAAAAATATCTTTTCACTGTGATTATTTTTAAGTGTTTAAATTGTAACCAAATATTTACGCTAAGATGCTTGTATCCCTGCAGCAAACAGACTTATAAGCGCGTAGATATTCCGCTGCAGATTGTTCCGATTTCGTTTATGTAATAATTTTTTTTTTAATTTTTGACTTGCTAAGAATTCAGGACTCCTTTTTTAAACAAGATATGTAAAACATCAAATTTCTAGAATCTTTTCTCGTGCTCCTGAGCTTGAAATGTATGGTGTATTAAATAAAAAAACGTAAATTTAAGGGTTTTTGTAGTTGTATATATTGCAAAAATGTAGTTGTAGAAAACCATTTTTGATGCAGAATTACAACAGTGAGTGTTTAAATAGTCTCATGTCCTGCCGCTCTTTTCGATATTGCTCGCCATTTTATGTTTTACTTAGGATTTCATAGTCGTCTCAGCTGTCGTAAGCAGTATTGGATTTTCTTTTGTTTTCATGTATTTGTTTTTGCAAAATTTGTTATGTTGTATTTGATTTGTGTTTTTAGAGTGTTGATATGATTTCTTTTTGAAGTCATTAAAGTATCTTTGACAACAATGCAACGATCTTACACTCAAATGAGGGATCAGACATCAAATATCAGTTCTTCGGTAAACGGCACGGCATCTTTAGCCCGCAAGCACCTTTTTATTATTCGTCATTCCATGGAATGTCGGCAGAAAGAATTGGACGGAGTTCCAAATCAATGTTCGTTTGCTGTTTGCGCGCAAATGCGTCGAGTTCTTGATCACGTTTTTGCGTGTAATCGTGGCAATGATTGCACATTTAATCACTGCGTGACCTGCAAACAACTGAAAAGTCATGCAGATAACTGTGAGGATCCTCTTTGCCCCATTTGCTCAAATTTTCCTACTAATGGCAACCCACCCAACAATAAACTTGCTCAAAACGATAATGTGAACAGTGGTTGTCAGCGCCAAGGTTCCTTAACGAATGGGGGACTTGAACAAGCTTACCAATCAATTCCAAACGCCTGTATAACTTCTGCTCGCTCAATCCTTCAACCTACATTGCCTGTCACAAACGGCTATAATTGGCGACAGGGATATGATTTTGCAAAGCGTGAGGAAATTGTTAAAAGCCAGTAAGTAATGTCAGATTTTGTTTGTTCATAAAATTCAATTGCTAACGACATATTTTTTTAGTGCGAGCCAGGTCTTTCCACCGGCAACATATAATGACTGCCGGGCCGAGGCCGTATTTAGGCTTTTTAAAGAGCAAGAGAAGAAGTTATTTAATGAAAGTCCTACGGAACAGGATTACAGAAGAAACCTACAAACGTTTGTTGTCAGTCTTCAGAATGAACTAAAACATAAGTCGCGCATAAACCCATGTTCACTCTCAAATGGAACTGTTTCTTCGCCTGTGAATTCCAAGCCCGACTTGGTTCCAGCCTCTGATCAGCATCTTTCAAGGACTCAGTTACTGGCATCTTGTGATACAAGTGGAAAAGCATCTGAATTGCCTGTTATTGAGGCGGTTAACGAGGTACCTCAAGCTTGCTCGGATTCCACAAATCAGCCATTCAAGCAGCTTAAGACTGAGCCGTCGTCAGTCCCCGCCGCTTATGAATTGTCTGCCGAGAAGAAGGAGGATACCAGACTGAAACCTCGATGCCCAATTGGTGAGGTGCAATCTACACCAGTGCCAGTTACAAAATCTGAACCTGGTAGGAGATGTGTATGGACAAAGGAACAGCTAAAGAACGCTTTCATACCGCTTCTCAACGACATATCAAATCAAGAGCCGCATGCTCAACATTTTCGTACACCCGTTCCATTTGAAGAATTAAAGCTTCCGGATTATCCATCAATTGTTCCGTATCCCATGGACCTTTCGACAATAATGAAGAAGCTGAATCATGGGGAGTATGGGGACCCATGGGACGTCGTTGATGACTTTTGGTTGATGTTTAATAATGCTTGGAGATATAACAGGAAGAACTCCAGAGTATACAAAGCCTGCTCAAAGGTAATTTCCTAATTGCATTTCAATTAATCTTGCATTTTCGTAGCTCGCCGAAATTTTTGAAAGCCTAATTGATCCGTTAATGCAAGACTTAGGCTTTTGTTGTGGTCGTGAATTTGTTCACTACCCTCATGTTTTGACTTGCCTCACTGACAAGTCTTGTAACATCAATCGCGACGACGTTTATTATGTTTACGAGAACTCGTAAGTTCTAATTTACCCCATCCTACTTCCAATGTAGTGGCGATAACAAAAAGCAGGACCTTTTGGATAAGTATATAGTTTGCGAGCGTTGCTATCAAAGTGCCGTCAATACCATAACCATAGATGACCAAAGTTCACCTGTGTAAGTTTTGTGGTTTTATATTTTATGGCATTTTTCTAGGCATCTCAAAAAAAGCCTTTTCGAGAAGCAAACGAATAACACTATCGTTCACGAGAAGTTTGTTAATTGCCGGGAGTGTGGTCGGAAATGGCACAAAGTGTGTGCGTGCCATATGGATGAAATTTGGCCCAGCGGATTCGTCTGCAAGACTTGTATAACAGAGCTCGGTTGCTGCCGCTCACCCAACCGTTTCACTGCAAAGCGCCTCCCTACGTGTAAACTGAGTGACTTTCTTGAGAAACGTGTAAATGATTTCCTGAAAAAAAAAGAATCTCAGACTAGCGAAGTGATAATTCGCGTTCTTGCAAGCGCTAACAAGACGGTTGAAGTAAAGAAGTACATGCGCAAAATGTATAGCGACTGTGGCAAGTTCCCCATGTCATTCCCCTATCGTGCGAAAGTTATTTTCGCTTTCCAGGAGTTGGATGGCCAGGAAGTGTGTTTTTTCGGACTCTACGTGCAGGAGTACTCGTCAGACTGCCCCGCTCCTAACAAGCGCCGGGTGTACATAGCCTACTTAGATTCCGTTTATTTCTTTCAGCCAAAACAGTATCGCACAGACGTTTACCACGAGATTCTTGAAGGGTACTTACTTTATGCAAAAAAACAAGGTTTCGCTACTGCTCACATCTGGGCCTGTCCTCCAGGTGAAGGAGATGATTACATTTTCCACATGCATCCCCCAGACCAAAAAATCCCCAAGCCTAAACGCTTGCAGGACTGGTACCGAAAGATGCTTCAAAAGGCCCACAACGAGCGAATAGTTGCCGATTACAACAACATATACCAAGACGCCTACGATACGAATTGCTTGACACCTACAGATATTCCCTACTTTGATGGCGATCTCTGGCCAAACACATTAGAGGAACTCTTAAAGGTGTGTCTGTTTTTCGTGAGGGGCAATTTTAATTTTATACTTTATCTTCACATTGTGTTGGTCTAGCGTGACTTGGGCTACAGCCTTTTAACCTCACACAAAAATTAGTACGTTATTTATGCAAGGGAAGGAGGTAACCGATAGTAGGAGAATTCAGTGCTCATGTAGCTGTTTTACATTCCTGCTGAATCTAACCGACAGCAAGGTTATTATACCTTTTAATTATAAACACGTATGACTTTATAATTGGTGCTTAAGCAGTTATAAGTTTGAAGGTACTTAGTCAGCTGTTTTGGATTTTCTTCAATGAGCCAAAATACCGGTTCCCTATTTCTTTTCGTAACTACGTGTAAATGCTACAAGAGTGAATCCCCATCAATTTGTTGCATAGATATATAATGACTAACTTCAAGTTGCTGTGTCGTTCTATCACAGATCACTTTGTATGGAAAAGGTTATCTCAGCCGATCTTGACTACATTGGTGATTGAAATGTTTGCCTGTTGTCAGTCCATTTTGGTAGCCCTCAACTTATGTCAACATAATATGTTATGGGTGGATGAATGAAAGGGTGCATTTCGGGTTTTCTGGTTAACTACAACTCGGGTTTTAGGTTAGATAAATTGTTTCATCGGAATTTGTAATGCCCTTATGGTCTGTAACAAATTATTTCGTTTGCGTCTTAGGCTGCTGAGGAGAGTCGTCGGAAATTACGTGAAGAAGAATTGACTCGCGTTGACGCTGACGATTACGGTGACGACTTTGGAGACGATGCTGACAGTAATCAAGGCAGCCTCGATTACGACCGGAAACCCGGCAGCGCTGGTAGTTGTGGTGGTAATGTCAGTGATAGTAAGAAAAAAACCAAAAAACGCAAGATGAAGCGAACTACTTCCGCTTTGAGCATTGCTGGTGGATGCAGTAAAAGGAAACGACTATCAACCGCTACGACCAGTGGAGATACGGAGGCGGAAGTACAGCGGCGCTTGGAAGAAATGCTTCAAAGGAATGCCGAGGCTTTTCTAACAATAACCTTGCATCCGCGTAGCCAGGTCGCAAGTCTGCAGCCGATCAAAGATCCTGATCCGCTTTTTTCATCGGAACTTATGGAATGTCGCGATACATTTCTAAGTCGCTGCCGGGAACGCCATCTTGAGTTCTCCACGCTTCGTCGAGCAAAGTTCTCCACTCTTGCCTTCCTCTACGATATTCATACAGAAAATAAGGATGCGTTTGTTTACAGTTGCAACTGTTGCCAAAGAGAGATTGAATCACCTCGGCAGTGTAAACAGTGTCCAAACTTCTACCTCTGTGACAATTGCTTCAAAACTCGAAATCATCCTCATCCTATGGAGAAAGTTGTCATAAGCGAAGACAATGCGAGTCCTGCGGCAGTTCAGCAGTCTGACAGATTGAAAATGGAGCGTTGTGTAAAGCTTTTAGAACATACTTGTTGTTGCAGGGATGCTAATTGTCGTAACCAAGCGTGCCGAGATATGAAACGTCGACTGGAACACTTTCGAACGCAACATGACCGCAATAAATGTTGCTGGTGCCGACCTCTTCATCGAATCTTGGCTGCACATTCTACGAAATGTAACGACTCCAAGTGCCAGGTTGTGTTTTGTGCCCACTATAAGACTCTCAAGAAGCAACAGGAGTCACAACAGCGGTTAAGGAAATTGCAAACTCTTCGACGCCGGCAAAAGACTATGCAATGTTCTAACAATAACAAAACGCCCCAGCAACCAAACACTCCTCAACCTGCTCAGACAGTTGTCAGTTGCAGTGGTGTTGTTCCACAGCTGGTGGCTTCCACGGCCAGTCCCACGGTGTTTCACACCCCGAACTCATCGGAGCCACCCCACAGTTTTTCTTCCCAGACTCCCCTAACATCGCCACATTCCGTGTCAAATCCTCGGAACTCTCCATCTAAGTCAGTATCATCTGGTGGACCACTCCATACTACCATGCAGCATTCTCATTCTTCACCTTACCAACTCCCTCCACAACCTTCCCCCGCACCTATAACCTCTTCAAAAGGTCCGGGCAGTCAACAGGCGCAACAGCCACCTTATCACCACTTACCCTCCCCAGCAGAATACCAACAGGCAGCGCCAGTCACTTCCCCCTACTCTCAGCAACCGCCGTTATATCAGCAACCCCAATTGGTGCATCAGCAACCGCTTCAGTCACCCCAAATGCAGACCAAGAGCTATTCTGTTGACATAGGCTATCTAAGACAGAATAGCAACCCATTAACGGCGCCTCCTGGCTTTTACGAAAACGGCCAGTCACCTTACCTAAGAAGTCCTGTTGTTACTGCGACGCCCCGAGTTCCCTACCAGATGCCTTCAATGGAGATGGAGGAATCGTACTCAATCCCAGCTGTTGGTATGAAGCGGCCGTTCTTCAATGAATGTGATATGATGCCTGTTGGTGTTGGAGGGACAAATCTCTATGCCTCCAGTAGTGGTATCAGCGGTGGTAAACCGGTGATGCAACGTTCGATGTCTGCAGCCATGATATCACAGCAACAGAATCAACAAAACCAGGCACAACAGCAACCAGTCATGCAGTGGGCCGGAGGGGCTATGATAAATGGCCAGTTGATGCCGGCGACCACGTCGGCTGCCGTCAAGATTACGCATACTGGCGCCAGCAAGCAATTACAGCCTCTGCCTGCACAGCAGACACCACCACCGCAGTTAGGGAACAGTGTACCCCAACTGCCGACTGGGGCAGAAGTGGAAATGGTACTGAATGCGAGGCGCAATTTCGGCAACGATAACGAAGTAAGTTTGCACAGTTAATTCCACCTGTAATATGTGGTTCGCCAGCATGTCCTTACATGATGCTGTCAGGTCACATTTCACAAGTGCTCCATTTAAGTTGGGAAAACTGCAACAAAATTGTCATTTTAGCTATTTACTGTTAACGTATGTCAAGTTAGTCAATTCGGGGCTTTTCGACATTAAGCTGTTTGGAGTAAAAAAATTTTATGAAGTGTACCTTAACTCAGGATGCACTGCTTAGGGACATAAGAACTCATAGGATATCAACAGTCTTTTTCTGTTTACTTTATTCGTCATTTCAAGTTCTTCTCATGGCTGTACCAGCACCAGCATCTAATACCTGCTTGGAACTACTGCCGAAGTCAACAGAAACCATCTGCACCCGCAACGTCCCTACAGTATTCGTCGCAGCAGTCAGCCCCGCAGCAGATGCTGCGCAATAGTGTCGGTTTTCTTGCCAACCCACAGCAACAGCGGATGATGCAGCCAGGACAGAAACCACTGGTCAATACCTGGCCAATGCAGAATCAACAGCAACCACAATCAGCTCTTGATCCCCGAACCTTGCGTCAAACGTGTTATGCTCCCCAGGGGAAGCCGGCCTACAGCCAATTATCACAGCAACAACACGCTGCAATGCCCAACAATCCTTACGCTTCTACTGGATTCCCCCCACGTTATCCCTCTCCTGGTTCCTCTGCCGCTCTTGCAGATCTCGGCGGACGCTCTGGCATTTTGCGAACGCCAATTGCACAGCAACAGCAACGAATGGGCACGGCAGCGCCAGCGTCACCCAGGCCTCTCCCATCCTATCCTTCGCAACAGCAGCAACCGTCTTTGATGCTGTCTCAACTTCTGGTTCAACCTCATCCGCAGCAACCGCCGCCACAACGGTCCCAGGATCATATGCCCCATCAACTACCACAACAACAACAACAACTTCCCCATTGATGCTGGATTGTTGTACACCTTTATTCCTCCTTACAGACTTCCTTTTCCTCTGTCTTTCTGGCCCCATGTATATCACGCCTGACTTTACTAGCACAACTCAGACAACGACTCGACCAAGCTTTTATGTAACGCGTGATCGCGCCCACACACAGGCAAAACTGAGCAAAGGTATTTTCCCAACTAAATCGTGTGTGTGTGCAGATGAAGCTCCCCACTTGTTCCTGGGGGTGGAGTCCGCCCCGGTTGCGTTCCATGCACAAGTTCATTCTTCTAATCACCTATCCCTTAGTGTACTTATCTTTAAGCTTCGTGTGTACAGTATACATATGTATTCCCAGGAAAATGAGCCCTTTCGCTGAAGCAAACTATCCAATTGTAAAGGCATCGTCACGGTAAACGCACACACACCATAGAGGACGGCGACGCTCCTTCGGTCTCAGTCCCAGTACTGTATTACTCATCTCATCTCTTGTGCCATGCGATCGAGTGTCTGCAGGGCACCCAACTTTATAGCTATTCTTTTTTCAGATGATTTTGACCTATATTTGATAAGGGAAAAATAGTACCTAAAATGTACCCTCCTGTGTTCTTTTTTTCGTATTATCAAGGGGACCTACGGCTTTGATTTGACTTAACTTTACCGACAATCATGGTGTAAAGGTTCTGATCTCGGGTAATATCTCTGTTTCCACACTTTAACATCTGATTATCAGATCCTCCAGGCAGTAGGAAGTAACCTGTTGACTTCAGACGGTATTGCTTCTCGTCTCCTTAGCACGACAACATGCGCTAGTGCTTTGGCAATTACGCAACAGCATAGTTGTAAGCTATTTTCGATGTAATATTATTGTTTTGGGACTTTGTATTCGTGTCTTACTGATTTCAGAGCTCACACTAAACGCGTGTGGAAGTCGATACAACATTATCGTGTACATTTAGCAGTGTTGTGGAGCAAGGTTTGGACTGAGACTTCAATTTTAGAAATAAGCTATCATGTGTCAGTGCGCTGACGTGTAGGCAGGTAGATGTAATTGGCGGCTATAGGTGTTGCCTATTGAATGTGTGGCCGACTTCAGCTCTGCTAAATAATTACGACATGCGAACTTATTATTTTAGAGGCCCGTTGTATATGTTCGAAGTCTCATTCTTCGAGTTTACTAAACATATTTGGGTAGTGCGCCAAGGTCCTCGTAAGGCTTCTAATTTTACGTTTTCATCCCGTTGTCCTTCCGGAACGCTGAAGGATAGCTGAACTGGCCTCAAACTAATTTAAGCCTCCAAAACTTTCCTTAGACATGAAATGTTGCATTTGTCTGGGTCTTGGCAATTATTAAAGACTCGGATAGCTAACCGTGACACCAGTCAAACCTACTTAGTTGAAAGTGTTTTCATTGCTATATGATTTCAATCTCACGCAAGTGGCTGCCAAAGTAGGTATGGTATATATTTACATGCATATTTAGGAACTGAACCCTATCAATGAAAAGCCAGTTCTTAAAATTGAACGCCTGGCCTATTGCTGTAGACTAACTTTTTCAGTGACCGGTCCCAATAAGGAATTCCAAAGATCATAATGCTTGACATAACTTTAAACTGTCCAGACCTGCACATGACACCGAATAAATGTTTTCGACTAACCGAAATTCCGTTACTTTAGAGACTTATCATACAATTATTTTACTTAGCTTGCAATCTGAAATATATTGTTTCTGGGTGTTTCACGGATGCACTCGTATAGTTTAAGGCATTTAAGTGCAAACACAGACCTTTATGGTGCTCTTCGTATTATAAATACAGTACTGAAATAAATATCGAGTTTTGTAGAGTTTTGAACTTTTAGTGAGCTGTTTCCCTTACAAAAAAACAAGTCATGTAAAATCTTGACTGGCTCCGATGCAGCAGAATTAATTCATTTGACATTTCATTGAACTGCATATGATTATAGTACTTTAAGTGGAAGCCAAAGTATTCATTCAAGCCTTCACCTCGAACCACTGATATGTTTGTGATGACCGAAAACAATGCTAATATGCCAGTGGGCCTAGTCGTGTTACGACAGCGTTATTGAAATGTGGTCATTTGCTCTCGAGTGAGCTAATTACAGACATATCCGTTGAAGCGTGGGAAAGCTTTTTCCGACTGACCCTTAGCTAATGAAACTCACTCTGCATTCAAGAAAACTATGCTGAAACAATAGATTGCACTAGGGCAGGTGTTTTGTCTTTGATAGGGACGAGCTTGTGTTGCAGAGACATACCCACCGTTTCGTAGCATTCGCAATCACATTAGATGCCTAGTGAATGTTTGACCATAAGTTTTATTTGCGTAGCAGAATGTAGCATATTTAGCATGACCGTTTTTAAAGTATCAGATGCGACGGGTCCGGGCGATAAGTCGACTACAAAATGTGCTTGCCTTTTGATAAGAACGTACGCGAAGTTTATTCTAGATATTGGTAGGGATGCTTTCCAAATCTTATTGCATGGTTTAACAGTTTTTACCCTTTATTTGTTTGACGGTAGTTTGACTGATATTCGAAAAATTTCTCATCACTAGCCATAGACAATGTGGAAGGGCGATTCTTCGTTAAGGTAAAAATCTTTTGAAAACTTGCTTATTCCTCTTTTGCTGATAACTTACCACGCTTATGAGGATAACAACTCTTACAATGTGAAGCAAGACAGGCCCACTAAATAAAAAAACCAATCCGAGTCCGATTAAACCAAATTCAGTGAGAATGCACTTCCGATGAGGTCCATCCGTGCCATTTCTTTGCTTCGCTCAGCTAGCGTCTAGTGGCAACCCAGAGGTCTGATCTAGTTTAATGCAAATTCGAATTTTGTCTGTTTCTTTTCCCCTACACTCATGTGTAAATAACGTCTAACTATTAATAGACTTTGAGGCTATAATAACGCGTAAGCTAGGCCTGCTAGATTAGACCATTACTGTTTACTTCCGTGGAATTTGATGGTTTTAGTTTTAGCAAGAAGAAAAGCATACTTGCATAATAATTGCAACCTTGGGTTAGATTCGCGTATGCCCACGATAACATTGATACCATGGACGAATTCCTTGTGCTTAGTTATGACCCGAAACCATAAATCTTACACATACAAAACCTGAGGTGCAATTCTCATCGCAGAAGAAATTAAACCTAAGCCTGATGAATTTTAAAAAAAGGCAATTCAGCACCGCTGTTTGAAATAGATCCATTGTTGTTACACAGCTGTAAAGTTCATACGTTTAGTGCCTTCATTTCGTACAGTGATCAGTTGACAAAAGCAGAAGACGAAGCATCATTGAAGAGGAGGAATATGTCAACAGGCAGTCAAATTTTAGATCTCTCTCTGAGTCTCCATTTACCACTGTCACATGGCACATTTCTTGACATCGAATCTTATAATTATTATCACGTTAAGCTACTTCAACCTCTTAACCCTCCTACATTTGCATGCGCCCAATGTAATACAAATTAGTGTCAACTTAAAATACCAAGACTTACATTGTTTGTTTGATTAGCTTAAGGTGCTTGTAGCTCTCGCAGTCCGCTAAATAAACTACGTGTAGAAGTATTCTGATTTGTCTTCGTAATTCAAGAAATCGCAATTGGATGTGTGTGCGTGCGGACTTTTACTGTAATGGTAATTAACTTAAGGCATTTATTAAGATAAGAGTGCAGAGGGCAAAAAATTACAATTTCCTGGTACTGCAGATCTCAGATTCTTCTATTTTCTCAAGCAATATTTTAATCACAGGAACGGAGAAGCGAAAAGCTTGGCTTTAACATGTTCCGTGGCAAGTCTGCTTGATTAGTCCCATTGACTTTATTTAGTAAATAGTGTTTATTGAGTTAAAGGAGTATATATTACATAAAATATGCAGTCTGTCACCAATTTAAAAAAAATTAATGCTGCGTAGCTATTTTGTCTACATAAATGGAGCTCAAAGTTAGGGTTTTAATACCTTTAACCTGACTTTTGTTGAATTAAGAAAGAAAAAATACGATTTACCCACTAATTATCATAGATCTCAATTAGGTGATTGAGTTACTTCATCCAGCGAATTAACACCAAATGGATCGATATCATTAGAAAATGGTGATATAGACATGCAAAAGTATACTTTGAGAATGGATCATGCAAACTTGCCTAGTATATTTGGCTAAACAGGCAACACATGTAAAAATGTCGTTTCTAAAACCTGTATGTAATAGAAGCGCTGGATTTTAAGCTCCTAACACTTGGAACCATCCGCACCACCTAGAGTTTAAGTGAAAAAAATCAATTTTGCCTGACAGTTCTATGCAGACAGATCCGCTGTTTCGCAAATTAAGCTAATCTAACTAGCATGCAGATAATATCATATGTTTGCCTTATAAATGGGCAGTTCTAAATTCAAGATTATATGTGTTGCTATGATATAGCGCACAGGGGCGACTGATGCTATTCTTTAGTAGCCAACTGCTGCGTACAGCCTTTAAACTAACTTTAAACCGTTGAAGCTACAAACAGAAAAATGATCAAATCTGACAAACGAGAGCATACCAATATATTATGAATTATACCACAATAATAAACGCAGCTCGAGAGAATGACTTACCAAGCTGAATCTTAGAAAATGTGTTGCATTTCATTGAAAGTACCTTTCAAGTCTTCGCATGTTTCCTCTTCTTAAAGTCAAAACTGTGGTAACGTTTACAGCACGAATCATTAAATAACTTGGCTTAGCTTTCAAGGTAAGATTAATCTAGGGATGTTAATGCAAACAACGCAGAATGAAAAGGGATTTAACACAGTTACATCCACAGCTACTGAAGTTGCATACCTCAGCCTCTTCAGTACACCGACCGGACGCATCTTACTGTGACATTACCAAGCGTGGGATTGCCCAAATAAAATGTAATATCAATAAATGAAGCTCAAATACTGAAACCTCACAATTGGATTGAGGTGAAAGTCCGTCAGTTTTCAAACAAACGTGGAAATTATTGTCAGTGGAGT